TGTAGTTAAACTGCATCTGTTATCTTTATATATTTATGTTATATTACATGTGTCCTTTTGCAACTTTTTTTTGTTCAACATTGTAGTTTTGAGATTTATACTTAACACATGTAGTTGTATTTTTCATTATAATTTTTGTGTGGTATTTTTGGGTATGAATAATGGATATTAGGTTTTTTTCCACCTTTTCATTGTTACAAATTATGCTGCACAATATATTCTTATAGTTGTAATTTTGTAAATATATACAAGAGTTTCTGTAGGGTAAAACTTAGCAATGGCAGTACATGATTGTATGGTATGTACATCTTTATTCTTAAAAGATTATGTTGCCAAACTACCATCCCAAGTGAAGGTTCTAGTTTATTCCCCCTTTGGCAGTATACAAGTTCCTATTACTATACATCTTTTCCACAACTTGATATTGTTGACACATGTGCACATGCTTATGTTCACCAGTTTCATGAGATGATATTTGTATTTTTCCCATTGCTAATGGGATTTAGCATCTTCTCATATGTATAGAGGCCATTCTGATTTTTTCTTCTGTGAATTGCTTTTTTTCCCTATTAAAAAATTTTTTTTTAATTTATTAACTTAAAGGGAGTTCTTCATGTATTCTAATCCTTTGTCAGTTATCTGGAGTATATGTATCTACTCTAGTCCGTATCTTCTCTCTTTACTTGGTGGTGTCTTTGTTGAATGGTAGCCTTTCGTTTTAACCTTGGCAAGTTTATCAGTCTTTATCTTTAAGGTTTTTGCTTTTTGTCTTAACTCTTGTATATTCTAAGGTAATGAGGATTTTCTCATATCTTTTTTAAAAAATTGTACTTTTACTTTCACATTTACATTTTTAATCCAACTATAACTTATTTTTGTACAGTTCTGCTGTAACATGGCATGTGTTCCTAAAAACCACCATGTTATATGCAAAATCATGCAATAAAAAACACAGGGCATATGGGAAAAATGGGGTTGGGACACAGCACTCAAAAAAACTTTGTCAGAGAAACATTAAAAACATAATAAAAATGGTAGCACAGTTTTACATATGTTAAATGGTTAAGAAATACGTAACTACCACAATAAATATGACATTTTATTTTGAAAAGGATAAAGTTAACTTGTAGAAAGAAGTACGATTTAAAGGGTTGCAGCTTGAATTATTGCAAAGTGGTGGAAGGAAAGTTTTCTTAAATCTGCCAAGAAGTTGTAACAGCAGATGTGGGGAGTGTGACTCATAACACACTTGAAGATGTTTGAATTGTTGGGGGTGCCTGAGTGGCTCAGTCAGTTGACTCTTGATTTTGGCTCCGGTCATGATCTCAGGGTCGTGAAATTGAGCCCCACATTGGGCTCTGTGCTGGCGTAGAGCCTGCTTAAGATTCTCTCTCTCCCTCTTCCTCTGCATTCCCCCTCTTAAAAATTAAAACGTTTGAAGTGTGTGTGTTTTGTGCATTTCCTATATGGTTCAGTACAGCTGAGTAGTTTTCTACATTCACCTTGTGTTTGTTTCAGTTAGGACTACAGTAAAGCAAGCTAGGCACTTAGGGGGCAGAATTTAAGGAGGCGCTTCCTGTTGGGGTTCCTAGGCATCTCGTTTGCCTCACCTTAGTCCTGGCCCTGCTTGTGGATTCAAGTAGTGCTTGAGCATATACTGAAATTTGTGTTATTGTTCCCTAATATACCAATCATGTTTAACATATTCAAGTTTTCAAAACAAGCATTAGAGTAGAACTGACTGCATATGTGAGGTAAAGCTCTGTTTTTTCCCCATATACTTAGCTAGATCATTTCCCACTAATTCATAATGATGCTTTTGGTGTATATCATAGTTCCCCATATACATGAATCCAATTCTTGTTTCTTTGTGCTGTTTTCATTGGTCTTTTTTGCTTCTCCCTGTGCCAGTATCACATTTTTTAATCACAGGTCTCGCACTAACTTTGTAATCTTGGTCAAGTTATTCCTGTGTGCCTATGATTATAATAGTACCTACATTATTGGGTAGTTAAAGGAATAAATGAACCAATATATTAAAGTGCTTAGAAATATGCACCTAGCCCAAGAGTAAAGCTCACATGTTAGTTATTTTGTTATTAAAAGTAATTTCTTTAACTTAATAAGCAGTCTTGATATCTTGTAGCCTGATTTTGCCATCTTATTTCTCCTTTTCCATACTGTTTGAAAGGAAGTGGGAAAGGCTTATGGGAGGATTCCCTGAGAAAGTGACATGTAGGCTATCTGAAAGATTATAGGAATTAAATAGATGTTGGGAGCAATAGGAGTAAAGTCTAGGCAGATGGAGCCATAAGGCAAAAAATGGAGTGTCTAGTAACTGAAAGAAGGTTATTGTAGTTACATCTCAGCAAAGAAAAATGGTACCAGTTGAGACTAGACAGGCAGGAGTAGATAGATCATGCAAAACCAGGTAGGCGATGTTAAGGATTTTAGACTTCATCTTACGATCATAGTTATAACTGTTTGTAAAGATTGTTATTTCATGCCTTTTATTCTTTCTTAGAGGTCTAAGAATAAAAGTCATGAAATATCAGTCTTTACAAATAGTTATAGCTATTTAAAACAAAAACAAAAACAAAAACCTTGAGAGCTATAAAATTGGCCCTATCTGGATCCTAATAGCATACCAAGGATTAAGAGTGCTGTTGAGAATGTGTAAGTCGGGTCTTTGTTCATTTACTTGTAAACTTTGAGAACTATTGATTCTGTTGTAGGCTTTTACCAGTTCAAATTGAAGATTCTTACGTTTTGGCAGATTCACAGATTAGGGGTAGAGTTTTTACAACAAATCTATGTAAATGTCTTAAAATAAAATTTTTTTTATTTAGTTCACTTCATTTAATATTGTTGTCTTTATTGAGTACACATAAGAAGTCTACATATTATTTCTGTAATAGATGTTTCTGTTTTTTTCCTATATTTCCCCTCATGGTTCATTACCACAAAATTCTACAAATAAGATATAGGTGGCCTGTAACAGAGATATGATGGTCTTTTCAGTTGAAAGCAGATAAATATCCATCAAGTACAAGAGTCTCCTCTCATAATAGTATCATTATACACAAAGTAGTCACTTCAAGATCTAGGAAAGAGAGTTGAACTAGAAATATAGCAACAGATGAATACTACCCAGTGCAAACCTCTACCGTACAGTAGAGGATTTATTAAATACTTTGGGAGATAAAACCCCATCTTTTAGAAATATATTTTAAATAAATATAAATAGAATTTTGATAGTATTTCCAAAATAGTTTTAATGTCAGTTTTATAAATCACATTGTTATTTATAGTGTTACTGTTAATCAGTAAATTCAACACAATTCCAGTCAAAATCTTAATCGTATTTTTTGTGGAACTTGATAAACTGACTCTAAAATCCACGTGGAAGAACAAATGGCCAAGAACAGTTAAGGCAATTTGCAACAACACCAAGCTGGGGGAACTTGCCCTAAAAAAGAAATCAAGGTTAAAGTAATAAAGATAATATCAAATTGGCATAATGATAAAAACAAAAATAGATGGAACAGAGAAAAGGCCACATAGTATGACATTAATTTGCAAAGAAAGCAAATGAAATGTCTGAATATTTTGTTTAAATCGCAGGAGGGAGTCTAAAAAATTTTTAGTGGATGATAAATACTTAAGTATGATTTTCTTTATTTAATATGTAAAGTTATTGCTGATTTAATCTCTATTTTAAAAATAGGGTTTTCCTAAGACTTAGTCTCTGAACTTTTTTTCTTCATAAGTCTCAAATTCTACAATTTGGGGGCTGAATTTCAGTTACATAATCCTGACAGTAGGTTTGGAGTACTAGTGTATAGATAATTCTGCAGTACCCACTTTAAGGAAATTAAACTGCTGATGAATATTCTCTAGGAATTGTGGGATTTTGTTAGATTGGTGCCTTTGCTTCAAACAAATAACTGTATAACTGTAGGATTTCATTCCTATACTTAGTGCTGTGTGTAGTAAGCACAGATATATTAGAATGATCTCCAAAAACACTTGATTACCTATGTTAGTACACATGTGGGCTTTTAAACATCTTGTTAACCTTTACTTTTGATTTTGTTTGTGATTGAACCTGGTTAAGTATGGGAAAATATTCCTGGAAAAGAATTTAAAATAATTATGAATCCATGGCAAAGCAGTATTTCATAGTGGGTATAATATAGTCAGAATATATTTGTAAAGTTTTTTAAGTTTGTGAGCTTTCTTTACTAGAGCACCATTATTTTACTTTTTCTGTTGCTGGTCATCTGATGAGAAGCCAGTTCGTAGGTACTTGAAAATAGGATGAATATAGTTTCAGTAATGCTTACAGTGCTTGGTGTACCGCACTTGTGAAACCAATAAAAAAAAAATCTGTCCTGCCTGCCCCAGCAGATTTTATGAGAAATAGATGGAGGCAGTATTGTTGTTATTAATTTTTGTTGGTAAAGAAGCTAACTAAAGTTTTTAAAAATTTATTATTACAGTTATTATAATTGGTCTTGCAAACCTTTAATAATCCACTTTCCTTATCCCCAGAAAGAGAGAGTAAAATATATAAAATAAACATACTGTCTTTGTAAGTTTTTTGCAAAAGAACCATTTTGGTATTTCTTTATATTTTGCCATGTTGTACTTTAAAATTTTGTTTTGATTCATATAATTCCCATTTGAATTTTTGTTCAGTTGTCACATATTTTATGGAATAGCTATTACATTTTCTAAGAGGTACTGTTAAGGATTTTTTTTTTTAATGTGTATGTCAATACTTGTCCTCATTAGTAGGTATTTACAGAACAATAGAAATAACACTGTATAAGTGAAATTTTTTTTTCTAGATTGTAAGTCACATTCCAGTTATTCTCAATAATCCTTTGAAGTAGGCATGTACTATAATATAAAATGAAATATCAAAAATAGATAGCTTCTCTGCTATTCCTATGGTTACAGGTATTTTCCTTTACTGATTTCTTTTCTTTTTTTAGGTACCTAGTCGATAGTCGCTGGTTCAAACAGTGGAAAAAATATGTTGGCTTTGACAGTTGGGACAAATACCAGATGGGAGATCAAAATGTATATCCTGGACCCATTGATAACTCTGGACTTCTCAAAGGTCGTTATTTCCTTTCTTCAGTCAGGTTGTAAATGTGTTCATTTGAATATGTTATAGTCAATATGTAATAGGGAAAATGTTAATGTAAATAAATTAGAAAATTTTCTTTGTATTATAGATTTGACCTAATGAACTCAGATTATTCTGTCATAATTAGTTATTACTCTGTATCATGACAAATTTTTTCATTTATCATGTAAGAAAGGTTTATTATTGTTTAACCCTTTAAGTGAAGAATGTAAGTTAGAAAGCACCATCTTATTATTTGGGGGAAATGCTGTATTGTTACTGTTTTTCCTAATGGACACATGACTTTCTTTTTAAGTTGCGGAGCATTGATATATGTTTACATTCTTGGAATTTTGCAGCAGTCTTCTACAACCCTCACTACTTACCAGTCTTCTGTACCTCTCATTACACTTGAAGAGAATAAAACATAAGTACCAGAACTTCCATTTCTGGCCAAGATGGAGTAAGAGGGACTAGATTTACTCTTCCACCTGAGCATACTAAAACCTTGACAGAATATATAAAATAACTGTTCTCAAAACATTGGATATCAGGCAACAAAGAATAGTGATCCTTGAGAGATAGGAAACGAGGTAAGCTGTATGATTGCCTCAGCTTACTACCTTGATAGAATGTTCAAGACAAGGCACCGAAGAGGAAACCCGTATAGAGCCTGGCAATCGCCCTCAGTGAGGAAAGAGTTTGGAATCCAGGTAGACCCTGCCACCAGAGTTTTCAGGGCAGAGTACCAGATAGGAATGACCAGCAAAAAGAGACAGAGGAGACAGAGAGACACCTAGAGATATACAGAGGGTCTCTCTCAAGTCTTCAGGTGAGTGTTGATCAAGCTCATGTATGTGAGGGGGCTGCCCAAGGACAGAGGAAGAACCACCCAAAAGAATTAGAGGGAACAGTCATTGGGGCTAATTTAGGACCAAGAATAACATGTTCATAGCAGTTAGAGTGGAAAACCTTATAATTCATGGAGTATACTACTGAGAACAGTTTTGCCACTGTAATTGGGCAAAATTAATCCTCCTGTCCTTCTAATCTGAAAGCATCAAACTTTACATCTTAGAACAAAATGCAAAAATACTTGGAGGGATACAAAAATATCCAGCATCCAATCAACAAGATAAAATTTGTAATGTCTCGGATCCAACCAAATATTACCTGGCATGCAAAGAAGCAGAAAAATATGACACATAATGAGGAGAAATGTCAGTGTTTAAAAAAAATGTTCAAGTAGAAAAAATGAACAAATGAAACAAATACAAAAGAGCAAGATGGTAGATTTAGATTATTCTTTATGAATAATCACATTAAATTTAATAACCCCAATTAGAGGTAGAGATTGGATAAAAAATAAGACATAACTATGGGGATGCCTGGGTGGCTTAGTTGGTTAAGCATCTGCCTTCAGCTCAGGTCATGATCCCAGGGTCCTGGGATCGAGTTCTGCACTGGGCTCCTTGCTCAGCAGGGAGCCTGCTTCTCCTTCTGCCTGTCACTCCTTCTGCTTGTGCATGCTCCCTCTCTCTCTCTTGCTGGCAAATAAAATCTTAAAAAAAAAGACATAACTATGCACTGTCTACAAGAAAGCCCCCCTTTTAATATAAAGATACAAATGGATTAAAAGAAATTGAAAAAGGTATGCTATGTTATTGTAAGCAGAATTCTAAGACTGACTCCCAGTGACTGTCTTTCTTTATAATCATCTCCCCCTTTGAATATGGGTAGAGCCTGTGAATAGGATGAGATAACATTCCCATGATTATTTATGTTGTATGGCAAAGGGAGATTATTCCAATGGTTTTAATCTAATCACAAATGCCCTTTAAAAGCAGACTGTTTTCTAGCTGGTGGCAGAAGTCAGAGATTTAAAGCATGAGAAGTACTTAGTGCATCGCTGCTGGTCTGAAAATGGAAGAGGCCTTGTGACGAGGAAGGTAGGCATCCTCTAGGAACAGAAAGAGACATGGCCCACAGCCAGCAAGGAAACAGACCATCTCAGACCTGGCACCATGAAAAACTGAACTCTGCCAACAATCTGAATGGACTAGGACGCAGATTCTTCCCCAGAGTCTTTAAATAGGAGATCATCCTATCTGACATCTTGATTTCTGCCTTATGAGCCCTAAGTAGAGGATCCAGTTGAGCCCACCTGAACTTGTAACCCATAAAATTGTGAGATTGTAAATAAGTATTGTTTTCAGGGTGCCTGGGTGGTACAGTTGGCTAAGCGTTTGACTCTAGGTTTCGGCTCAGGTTGTGATCTCAGGGTTGTGAGATCAAGCCCCGTGTTGGGTTCCTACACTCAGCGCAGTCTGCTTAAGACACACTCTCCCTCTCATCTGCCACCACAACTCAATCAATCAATCAATCAATCAATCAATAAATAAATACATACATACATACATACACAAACAAACAATCTATCTATCTATCTATCTATCTATCTATCTATCTATCTATCTCTATCTATCTCTTTTTTTAAGATATTGTTAGCCCCTGGGGCGCCTGGGTGGCTCAGTTGGTTAAGCGACTGCCTTTGGCTCAGGTCATGATCCTGGAGTCCCGGGATCGAGTCCCGCATCGGGCTCCCTGCTCGGCGGGGAACCTGCTTCTCCCTCTGACCCTCCCGCATCTTGTGCTCTCTCTCTCTGTCTCATTCTCTCTCTCAAATAAATAAAATCTTTAAAAAAAAAAAAAAAGATATTGTTAGCCCCTGAATTAGTTTGTTATGCAGCAAATAGAAAAGTAATACATGTGCTAATACTAATCAAAAAAAAAGCTGCAGTGGCTCTATTATATAATTATATAATATATGAGTATATAAATAAAATGAGAGTCTCAAATCAGTGATGTTGGTTTTTAAGAAACTAAGAACAAATTAAACCTAAAGTAAACAGAAGAAAAGAAAGAAGAAAAATAAGTTCAGAACAGAAATTAGAGAAGAGAAAAATAGAGAAAATCAATGAACCCAAAAGCTGGTTCTACTCAAAACGAATATAATATGATGTGTTGGTTATAAAAAAGAAAATATAAACTGGTTCTTTGTGAAAACAATAAAATTGATCCATGTCTAGTTTGATCACAAGAAAAAGAGGAAAGACACAATTACCAGTATCAGGAACATGAGAGACATAATATCAGTATGGAATACACAAATATTAAGAAGACAATAAAGGAATATTATGAACTTTATGCCATTAAATTCAGTAAATTAGAACTACCAAAGCTCATTCCAGAAGAATAGATTGCCTGAGTAGCCCAGTGTCAAGTACAGAAATTGTTTAACATTTTTCACACACAAAAACATCATAGATCCAAATAGTGCCACTGGTGAATTCCACCAAATATTTAAGGGAGAAGTAATACCTACTTTACAAAACTCTTCCAGAAAATTGGGAGATAGTATTTCCCAACTCATGCTGTGAAACCATCATTACCTTGATACCAAAATCTTACAGAGACATTTTAAGAAAACACTAGACCAATATCTTGTCTGAAAAGAAGTTTAGTAAATCAAGTCCAACAATGAAAAGGATATATATGTCGTATAGAAATATATATTTAAAAGGTAACATATCATGTAAGATAAAAGAGTAAAATAGAAAGAAACGTCCTCATCTTCATAATGGGCATCTATGAAAAACCTGCAGGTGACATGAAAAAGGCAAAGGTGTCCACTCAGCTCTTCAGCTGGCATTACTGGAGGTGTTCTACCCAATGCAGTAGGCAAGAAGAAGAGAGAAAAAGCATACAGATTGTATAGGAAGAAGTAATAAATCTGCTTTATTCATAGACAGCTATGTCCATGTAGAAAATTAGATTGAATCTACAAAAAAAAAAAAAAAAAAATGCTTCTAGGGGCGCCTGGGTGGCTTGGTCAGTTAAGCGTCTGCCTTCGGCTCAGGTCATGATCTCAGGGTTCTGGGATCAGGCCCTGCGTCCGGCTCCCTGCTGAACAGGAGGAATCTGATTCTCCCTCTCCTTCTGCCCCTACCCGCTGCTTGTGTACTCTCTTCCTCTCTCTCACACTCACTCTCTCTCAAATAAATAAAATCTTAAAAAAAAAAAAGTTTCCAAGGACTAATAAATGAGATTGTTTTATGGGATATAAGATCATTATTTAAAAACTCAATTGTATTTTTATATGCTAACAATGAACTAGCATGAATAGAAATTTTAAAAATACATTTTATAGTAACATCAAAAAATATAAAATATGGATAAATCTGACAAAATAGGTGTAAGACCTATACACTGAACACTAGAAGACATTGCTGATAGAAATTAAAACCTAAATAAAGAGAGGGATCCTGTTGGTGGATCTGAAGACTCAATATTGTTAAATTTCCCCCCTCAAACTATAGATTCAACACAGTTTCAAATTACATTTCTAGTAGGTGTCTAAAAAATTGAGATAGAAAAAAAATTGAGATTGAATTTACCTACCTATCATAAAATTTATCCTTTTAAATTGTACAATTCAGTGGTTTTTAGTATATTCACAAAGTTGTACAGCCATCACCACAATATTTTCATCACACCAGAAAGAAACTTTGTACCATTAGGCAGTCACTCCTTATCCCCTCTTAAAACCCCCAACCCTCAGCAAACACTAATCTACCTTCTGTCTCTGGATTTACCTATTTTGGACATTTCATCTATATGGAATCATATAGTATGTAGCCTTTAACATTTGAATTCTTTCACCTAACACAAAGTTTTTCAAGTGTCATCCATGTAGCATGAATCAGTACTTCATTCCTTTTTATGGATGAATAATTTTCCATTGTATGGATACACCACATTTAATTTATCCATTCATCAACTTATGGACATTTGAGTTGTGTTCACTTTCTGGCTGATGATGCTGTGAACATTTTCACATACAAATTTTTGTGTAGTTACATATTTTCATTTCTCATGGGTGCACACTTAGATGTACAATTACTAGGTTAGATACTAACTCTGTATTTAAC